ATTTGTAAAATTTTTTTTTCTCGGGGCACCTGGGTGGCTCAGTAGGTTAAGCATCTGACTTCAGCTCAGGTCATGATCTCTTGGTTCGTGGGTTTGAGCCCTGCATCAGGCTCTGTGCTGACAGCTCAGAACCTGAAACCTGCTTCAGCTTCTGTGTCTCCCTCTCTCTCTGACCCTTCCCTGCTCACACTCTCATTCTCTCTCTCTAAAACAAACACTAAGAATTTTTAAAAAAAGAAAACAAAACAATTTTTTTCTCTTGGCCACTTCAAATTCCTCAAACATTTTGCTCATGTTGTAACCTTAAAAACTTTTTGAAATACCACGTATTCACACATCTTTGGTAACATCTAAAATTTTCTTAAGTTTCTATAATTTCAAGGATAGAATTTCTATCATATTACCAATATCAACTTCTAAGAAACTATCATAAAAGTTTTAAACTTACAAAATCTTGCAAAAATACAGAGTCCAATATACCCTTCATCCAGCTTCCCCTAATGCTAACTTCTTACAGTATCAAAGTACTATTATCAAAACCAAGAGATGAATATTGATAAAATACTATTAACTAGAACCTTATTCAAATTTCACCACTTTTTCCACTACTGCCTCTTTTCTGTTTCCAAATCCAATCTAGGATTCCATACTGGATTTCGTTTAATATGTCTTTAGTTCTCATCTTTGATAATTCCTCCACCTTTGTCTTTCATGATCTTGACACTTCTAGAAATTACTGATCAGTTAGTTTGTAGAATAACCTTCAATTTGGCTTTGCACATGTCTTCTCATTATAAAATTAAGGTTATGTGTTTTGGGCAAAAATACCAAAAATCATGTTATGCCCTTTTCAGTACATCAGAGATCAGGAGTCCATCATATTGACAGGTGTTACTCCTGGTGATATTAACCATGATTTATTAGTTAACAGAGTGTCTGCCATGATTCTCTATGTAAATGTACTATTTTTTCCCTTTACAATTAATAATATTAAAGATAAACAAAAATTATATCACTTTAATAAATCTATCTAACGGACCCTAGAAACTATTAACAATTTGATAACCGTTATCATCCCCTTAACTGTTCCTTTACTATTGAACTAACCATTCCTTAACACTCAAAAATGTTATGATGTTCCTTTTTCTCCTTGAATTTCTATTTCTTTTATATGTATCCTACAGAATGTTATCATCATGTAATGTACTTTTATTCTTGGATTATATACTTGATTATTCAACTGTTTTTCAGTGCAAAAACATACCTGTACACAAATATAAATTTTTAAAATTTCTTGTGACCATACAGTTCTAATTATAAAACCAAAATAAATTTTGGGTTATTATCATCATCAATAATAGTACACAATGGATCAAAACATAAATGTACTCTACATATGGAAAATTACTTATTAGGTAAAAAATAAAATTTTACTCAAAATGTATCTTCAATGAAATAGATGTATCTCACTTTCTTTTTTGGTTTATAAGTCCATTAATGAATATTACTTACTACCAGAATGAGACAAGGTTCAGCGCTAATCCTATTCCTTTTTTAATAGATAAAAATACTCAATAACTATAGAAGGGACCAGAAAATCTTTTGTTATAATGATGTTATTAAATTCTGTGAATTCCCTTTGAGTTATGTTCCAGATTTCACACAAGCTACTGTAAAAAACTACTTTTAATAATGACATCTCCATAACCCCAAAACCATACAAACTCTAAGTCTCCCACAGTGATCTCTGTACTTCAGACAAAAAAAAAAATTATACATTTCTTAAATTTTATTACACTGTAATAGGATTTGACTTCATAAACAGTCAAATCCTATTATATATATAAAACCTTTTATATACACATATAAATATATATAAGCATATATAAATATATATCCTTATATATAAATATATATAAATCCTTATATACATATAAATATATATAAATCCTTTTTATATATAAATACATATGTAAATCCTTTTTATATATAAATATATATGTAAATCCTTATATATATAAATACATGTAAATCCTTATATATATAAATATGTATGTAAATCCTTTTAAATGTATATATATACTTTTACATATATAAATATATATAAGTATATATGTAAATCCTTTTAAATGTATATATATACTTTTATATATATATAAATATATATATAAATCTTTTTATATATCAAAACTAATTTTACATCCCAACAAATATCCCAATATACCAATATGCTATTTAACTTAAAAATCATAAAGAGTAATATCATAAGGCTTTCATTCAATACATATTTGTTTAATAAAGATTTTATCTTTTTGTTACTGGGAGTTTTTTTCCTGATACATAGATTATGAATACTTCTATCAGAAAGTGTTTTAGTGGGAATGCAAGCTGGTGTAGCCACTCTGGAAAACAGTATGCAGGTTCCTTAAAACACTAAAAATAGAACTACCCTACGACCCAGCAATTGCACTACTAGGCATTTGTCCAAGGGCTACAGGTGTGCTATTTCAAAGGGACACATGCACCCCCATTTTTATAGCAGCACTAGCAACAATAGCCAAAGTATGTAAGGATCCCAAATGTCCAACGATGGATGAATGGGTAAAGAAGATGTGGTATATATATACAACAGACTATTACTCGGCAATCAAAACAAATGAAATCTTGCCATTTGCAACTACGTGGATGGAACTGGAGGGTATTATGCTAAGTGAAATTAGTCAGAGAAAGACAAAAATCATATGACTTCACTCATATGAGGACTTTAAGAGACAAAACAGATGAACATAAGGGAAGGGAAGCAAAAATAATATAAAAACAGGAGGGGGACAAAACAGAAGAGACTCACAAATACGGAGAACAAACTGAGGGTTACTAGAGGGGTTGTGGGAGGGGGGATGGGCTAAATGGGAAAGGGGCACTAAGGAATCTACTCCTGAAATCATTGCTTCACTATATACTAACTAATCTAGATGTAAACTTTAAAAAGTAAAAAAATAACGTTAAATTACAAAAAAATAAATAAGAAAATAAAAAAAATAAAATAAAAAGTGCTTTAGTATTTGTTTTGAGCAATTTTTCCAAAATATTTTACACCTGGGTTTCCTTTAAAAAAAAATAATAGTTTCAGACTGAATTAAATGGTTATTAATTCAAAGTCTGGTATAAGCACACCTAATTTCATTGTTATCTGGTGGATGGATGAGAGCCATAACTTAAAAGTGGGAAAGAACTAAAATAAATAGCAAGGAGGTAATGCAATTAGTAGAAAATTGTGGAAGGTGCTAAAAGTGGTAGACAAGTGGCACTTGAAAACTCCAGGATGTGGTATTTAGTTAACTACCAGAGCAAGCAAAACTAGAGGCCAGGTCACCGAGGAGAGAAGGAGCCCAAATGCGCATGAAAAAGGAAGAGAAGCACGCTCCTGGAATCAGGTACTGATCAGAAACACTCAAAGAGCAATGTTATGCCCTTTAACTGTGTGCCTTTCATCTAAACGAAGGCTCCAAATACATAAGTATAAGCTGATATGTGCTCCAAATGTCTATGAGCTAGTTCCAAACTTGATCAGACCAAAAAAAAAAAAAAAAAAAAAAAGAGCTAAATCTGGAAGGTGTGAAATGTAAAAAAGACCAAAAATTAATCTGAGTGTTCTCTATGAAAGGTCTTCCGGTCAAGGTACAGAACAGGCCGACTTTGCTATGTGGTGGGTATATACGTATACACAGATCAAGCAAGTTAGAGCTTTGTGGCTTCAGTACCTCCAGGGAACTGAAACAGCAGGAAAATAGGTAAAGCAAAATGAAGTGGCACCCATCTTTTAGGAATAGGGTATAGCTAAGTCTTAGGATCAAAAATCCAAACTTCAGGGGTGTCTCGGGGGCTCAGTCTTGGTTAAGTGTCCAACTCTCAATTTCGGCTCAGGTGATGATCTTGCAGTTTGAGAGTTCGGGCCCCACATTGGGCTCCAAAATGACAGTGCAGAGCCTGCTTCGGTTCTCTCTCTGCCCCTCCCCTGCTTGTGCGCTCGAGCGCTCTCTCTCTCTCTCTCTCAAAATAAATAAATAAACTTTTTTAAAAATCCAAACTTCAGAAGATTAACAATTTCAAAGCTGTCTAAATTCTCGAAATATATTGTTTTTCATGGTAATTAGCAAAGTTGCCTTTAATAAATCAGGCTTAATCACTTGTGTGAGGCAGACAGAGGCCATGCATTTGGTCCACAGGTAGAGAGTGGTTTTAAAAGGAGCCTGTAGGGGCGCCTGGGTGGCACAGTCGGTTAAGCGTCCGACTTCAACCAGGTCACGATCTCGCGGTCCGTGAGTTCGAGCCCCGCGTCGGGCTCTGGGCTGATGGCTCAGAGCCTGGAGCCTGTTTCCGATTCTGTGTCTCCCTCTCTCTCTGCCCCTCCCCCGCCCCTCCCCCGTTCATGCTCTGTCTCTCTCTGTCCCAAAAATAAATAAACAGTGAAAAAAAAAAAAATTAAAAAAAAAAAAAAGGAGCCTGTAACGGTGACAGCAGCAGGAATCAAACAACCACCTTAAATTAAGGGAAGGGTGATAGGTACTAAGGAAGGACTTGTGATGAGCACTGGGTGTTGTATAAGTGAGGAATCACTGAACTCTACTCCTAAAACCAATATTGCACTGTGTGTTAACTAACTAAAATTTAAAGGCGGGGGGGAGGGGAGAGGGAGAGAGAGAAGGGCATGGTAAGAAGTCAAGACAGCCAAATCAGAGGCTCAAAGTACACCTCTCTTTACACATGTGTACAAATCTTACCCTCTGTCAAACGTTTATTTTTGTTTTGTTTTTTTTCAAAAGACTTTCCTAACAATCCTCTTTTACATAGAAAGGTAGAATCAAAGTACTCCTAAGAAATACTAAGTAAAATCACCTCAATTTAAACTCTAAAGAGTAATTTAAAAGGATACGGATACAGTTGGGGTCTAAAAAGGAAGCTTCCATAACATGTAGTTTAAATAACTTTTAAAGACTCACCTGTAGGCTTAACTGAATAAAACCCAATGGCCTCTCCTTTCTTCCACAGAATCTTAGCGTAATCAGTACTGCTATGGCACAGGAATGGTATCTCATTTCTCTCCATTTCCTGTTTTCTATAAATAATTCGATTCAGAACATACAGTACCACTCTCTCCCCAAGAGTTCTCACCTGGAAAGAGAGTCAGACACAGGCACAACAGTTATGATATGCATTCAGAGATGCTATCCACCTTGCTCCCTGCTTCCACACCTCATACTGGCATGCACAAAGCACTTTAAATACACTAATAATGATTTCTTAAACTTATCATCACAGTAAAAGTGATGATAAGAGTAACCATTCATGCCAACAACAATCCATTTCTATAGACACAAAGGCATGGACATAGTGCCTCTCAGCAAAATTCTAAAACAGGAAAAACTAATTTCCAACGTACCAATGATCTAGCCATCTCTTCCTTAGCGCTCAACTGTTTTGTTTCTGCTACCAGCTGCCCAGACCCAGGCTACCTCTACTGCTTCAGTTCTTTTCACCCCATTCCAGTCTCAATATTAAATAAAAAAGAAAAAAAGAAAAAGAAAAAAGAAAAAAAGAAAGCTTCCTGTTATCCTCTAGATCTTTAAGAACCATTACCTTACTTGATGAGGAAATCCATAATTATGTTCCCAGGAAAGGAATCTCTCTCATTTTTTCCAGGTAAAATGTTCATTTAACAGTCATGTCTATAGTTAGACAACTATAAGAAACACCCACCTCACCCCACATACATACCCACAGACCCTTCTGCCAGATCAGATGAGTGATGACAGTGGTACCAGGCAAGTCTGATAAAAAACAAACTTGGGGCAGTCACAGAATGGAAACAGAGCCTCACTTCCTACATGCAGGGTTACCTGGTCACAGGGACCACTCACCAACTTTCTGACATCAAACAATGGGGTTTTCCTCCCACAGACATCTTTCACCACTAAAAACAAGAGTACATACTACCCATAAAGTATTTCTCCTCAAGTCTCCTTGAAGAAAAACAAGAGTGCCCTATAATTAGGTGAGTGAAGAAAAAAAGCATTAATGCATATACCAACACTCCTCTCAAAACTAAACAAAAACCCTTAACTATACTACATAGTAGGAGAGGTCAGATACCAAACAACACACGAAATGACAAAGCTCACTTGCTTTCCAGGCAACCCATTCCTTCCTTGAACAGCTCTGACCAGTATATAATTCTTCTTTATACTGAGGTGACTATAGCCAAAGACTGTACTTTGATACTCTGGAGCCATACAGTCTAAAAATAATTGAAGAGAGCCATGACATTCCCCTAAATTCCTACCACAGGAACATAGGAACGAATGAAAGAAAGGACTGATCTAATGCAATTTTGGGTACTTTTGCCATTCCAGTTCTCACTCTTGAAATGCTCCAGATCCTTATCATCTCTCTTCCCACTGGGGCTTGAAGATACTACAGACATAAACACTGAAGATACTGTTATAACAATCGGGCTTTGCTATATAAACTTCAGTTCTTGTATTAGCTTTTTTGTTTACCTTCATTTTACTTCTAATTAACTAAAGCCCAATCGTTTTCATATGTGTTGTTTTAGCTTATTCTTCACGGTGTACATGTGCAGTTATTTTTTTGAACCTATGGGTAATTACTTTTCATCATGTTAGATCCTCTTTGTTTCTTAATTCTGCCTTTCAGAGCCTGGTTCTCCCATTCAGCACTGTGGCATGCAGAATTCAGGTCATCTATGTCTTCCTCGAAGGAAATGAGAAGATGGTGACGAGGACAGAAAAAAAGGGACAAAGCCTGGAAGTATGCTAGTGAGGATCTCCCTTCTATTCCACTGTGTAGAGCACTTGAATAGACCACCTGAAATGGGCCTACTGATAGGCAAGGTTCCTGGTCAGTCTCTCCTAGAGGCAGAGAACCTAAGCAAACACACGGAGGGAACTAGGTTTTTCTCTACCCTATACAGAAATCGGAAGCTGAAGCCAATACAGGTAACTACCGTTCAAGTAACCCATAGAGACTCACTCTTCATCACTCAATTCTCAGATACATTCAGAGCCACATAAAACTGAGGAAGCCCAATCAGAGTACCAGCTTTATCAAAACAATGAAACTTTAATCATCTAATACAACCTGGTCATACTAAAATGGAGAAGTGCTAAATAACTTTAAGAACTATCAATGTTTAATGGGAAACAAACTGTGAAATGGCCTCATAAGAAACACTTTTAAATACAGGATCTTGTTACCTGCTTAAGCCCTTCTCTAGAAGGGACAGATGTTTTCACAATATCATCAATAGCCCACCACTGATCAGCAAGGTAAAGTGCCACAGCTAAAAATAGAATAAATGATTATTAACATTTAAGTCTTATAGCATACAATATTACTATTTGATAAGGTTTATACAGATAAATATATCTACACTGTATAATACAAGGTGGCCCCATTTATTAAGCAAAAAAAAAAAAAAAAAAGGTACCTGTGAGTGAGTCCTCAGGTGCGAAGAGAGCAAGAATTTTCTCAGTCTGATCTCCACCATAAAGAGGTACAAAGCCTACATTGGACAGGCTAATAGGAATCTGAAATGACAAGTGAGAAAAGATTAGTGAAAAGTCTATTAAGAAAATATAGGACAAAAACAACATGCTTCTACCAAAATATTAAACTTTTCCTACATTAATGCTAATTATGTAATTTCATAGAAGGTATTTCTCGTGTCAAAAAATTATATCAGAGCGTCCGACTTCAGCCAGGTCACGATCTCGCGGTCCGGGAGTTCGAGCCCCGCGTCAGGCTCTGGGCTGATGGCTCAGAGCCTGGAGCCTGTTTCCGATTCTGTGTCTCCCTCTCTCTCTGCCCCTCCCCTGTTCATGCTCTGTCTCTCTCTGTCCCAAAAATAAATAAAAAACGTTGAAAAAAACATTTTTTTTTTTAAAAATTATATCAGACTTCCCTTTTGGAAGCATTTTATTATCTTCGGGGACAAAAAACTGAAGTTTATTTCAATAAATATTATTATTGTACATTAGCCACAGATACGAATAAAAACAAAGGCATGATATGGTACATATAAACTCATTAAAAAAACGACACTAGTTTATTATCTGTTACACAATTTCACGGGGAAAAAAAACTCCATTTTTAAAAACTTTTTTTTTTAACGTTTATTTATTTTTGAGACAGAGAGAGAGACAGAGCATGAACGGGGAAGGGGCAGAGAGAGAGGGAGACACAGAATCGGAAGCAGGCTCCAGGCTCTGAGCCATCAGCCCAGAGCCCGACGCGGGGCTCGAACTCATGGACCACGAGATCGTGACCTGAGCTGAAGTCGGACGCTTAACCGACCGAGCCACCCAGGCGCCCCAAAAAACTCCATTTTATAGTAAAAGACATCAGACAAGTAAATCGGTTTTTCCAGTGAGATACATGATACTCTAAGATTTGCCTATCTTCATTAATCTGACCATAATTCCCCACTTACAGATGATACTACAATTCAGATAATTATAAAATACTGGTGCTTTACAAGAAGAGACTTTAAAGAATCCCTTAAACATCACTTACTAGAAGAAAACTACAAGGCCTATAAAGGTTAGAGAATTTGCCTACCATCTAGTTCACAGTGAAATTCTAACAATTCCAAGTCTAATTATCTTTCTTTCACAATATATCATGCTTACTAATTAGAAAGCTTGATTCTAGTACTTTAGGAAAAGGAAGATCTGTGGTACAAAAATGTGCAATTTAGTGTTCTGATTTTTCTTTCTTAAAAACCTTCTGAAATCACAAATTCTCAATCTAAATTTAGTCAGCTCAAATCCCATAACCAGTCTCAGAAACTGTTACACAACTTACATATAATTTTAAAGGCATAATATAAATATTAAGCAATAACCTGTAGAGTGTGTTTTTTTAAAACTTGATCATACTGCTATACTAACAAATCAATATTTATTCACTTTACTCAAAAGCCTTTTGATAAAAATTTCAAAAGTGAGTAGTTAACATTTGAAAAAGTAAGCAGATACGATTTCACATATAAACTCAACTGAAAAGACTGATAACAATCACCTTAGCACACCTTACCGTGATATTGAGAAGAGAAAAACGTTCAGGGTTTTCAGGGTCGCCACACCTTAGATCTGACATGTAATCTTCAGCAGAATTTTCCAATTCTTCATGACTGCAATTATCCAGCATATCCACAGGGAATGCCATCCTCTTCAACAAACAACATGGAACAAATGTTTCAGAACACGAAATGTTACCTTTCTTTACTCATAGAAAAAAAAATTTTATTGTAACACCACACTTCAAGGAAACTTCATTTTCACTACACCAAGACAGACAACAATTTGAGCCCACTGATTGAAAATGTATATCAAGGGGCGCCTGGGTGGCGCAGTCGGTTAAGCATCCGACTTCAGCCAGGTCACGATCTCGCGGTCCGTGAGTTCGAGCCCCGCGTCCGACTCTGGGCTGATGGCTCAGAGCCCGGAGCCTGTTTCCGATTCTGTGTCTCCCTCTCTCTCTGCCCCTCCCCCGTTCATGCTCTGTCTCTCTCTGTCCCAAAAATAAATAAACGTTGAAAAAAAAAAATTTTTTTTAAAAATAAAAAAAGAAAATGTATATCAAACAATAAAACTTTTAAACATTCATTTGTAGTAAAGCAAGCAATGAAATAGAAATTAATCGGGGCACCTGGGTGGCTGAGTCGGTTGAGCGTCTGACTTAGGCTCAGGTCATGAACTTGCGGTTCACGAGTTCAAGCCCCATGTCTGGCTCTGTGCTGACAGCTCAGAGCCTGGAGCCTGTTTTGGATTCTGTGTCTCCCTCTCTCCCTGCCCCACCCCCACTCATACTCTGTCCCTCAAAAATAAATAAACATTAAAAAAAATTTAACATGGGGCGCCTGGGTGGCTCAGTCGGTTGAGCATCTGACTTTGGCTCAGGTCATGATCTCGCAGTCTGTGAGTTCGAGCCCGCATCAGGCTCTGTGCTGACAGCTCAGAGCCTGGAGCCTACTTTGGTTTCTGTGTCTCCCTCTCTCTCTCTCTGCCCCTCCCCCGTTCATGCTGTCTCTCTCTCTCTCTCTCTGTCAAAAATAAGTAAATATTAAAAAAATTTTTTTAATTTAATACAAATAGAAATTAATGAATAATTCCTTAAAATGATAAAAATATATTTATACAGGCATAGGATATACATATTTACATATAAACACACATGCATATATCATCCTATACCTGCCAACATTTAAGCCACTGTAAAAGGACAAACACATAGGAACTTTTGGGAATAACAAAACTGTTCTACAACTGGATTATACTAATGGTACAACCCTACAAATTTATTTTAAAAATCACTGAATTGTACAGTTGCAGTAGGTAAACGTTACAGCATGTAAATTACATCTCTCATATATATAGCTATTAAAAAAAGAAACCAACACTTTAGTGGGGAAACACTAAAGCCAAGAAAAATAAGGACACTACTACTATATAAAATTATATAGGTATCTGTCAATGCAATTAGATGAGAGAAAGCAATTAAGGCATAACAATTCGGGATGGGTGTGAGGGTTGCAGCAGAAGACTATTGCTACCTCAATTTGCAAATAATTTATTTAATTGAAAAATCCCACAGAATTAATGGAAAAATTATTCCAAATAATACGAAATTATAGTCAAATAGCAAGATATAAAATTAAACATATAAATCAAGCCTTCATATTTACAATAACCACTGGTAAAAAAAAATAATAATGGAAAAAAATGAGTAAAAATACAAAATAAGATCCCATTTAAACACCAAAAATTAAAATAGGCTTAAATTTAACAACAATAAACAACAGGAAACCTATTTAAGTCTAAAACATTACTATAAGAAACAAAGTGAACAAACAGGAAACACAAACCATATACTTAGAAAGGATGCTTCACCACCAAAAAGGTATTAGTCCTCCCTAAAATAATCTATTAATTTAATGGAATCCTAATGAAAATACCTTTAGGGTTTTATTGTTTCCTGAGGGAAAACAAGTTATAAAGTTAATTAGAAGGAATAAATAAGCAAGAGTAGCTAGAAAAATCCTGAAAAGGCAGAGCAATGATTGGAGAAAAGTATGAACCCTGTCAGATACTAAAACACATAGTTATCAACAATAACCAAACTACGGAGAGAGCCCAAATGTCCACTGACTGATAAAGAAGATGTGGGGTGGGTGGGCAGGTGGCACACCCGCATAGAATGGCCTATTACTCAGCCATCAAAAAGAATGAAATCTTGCCATTTGCAATGACATAGATGGAGCTAGAACATACTATGTCAACCAAAATCGGACAGAGAAAGACAAACACCATATGATTTCACTCCTACATGGAATTTAAGCAACAAAACAGATGAACATATGGGAAGGGAGTAAGAAAAAAAAAAAAGGGAAACGAACCACAAGAGATTCTTTAACAATAGAGAACAAACTGAAGGTTGACGGAGGGAGGTGGGTGGGAGATGGACTAGATGGATGATGGGTACGAAGGAGGGCACTTGTGATGAGCAGTAGGTGTTGTATGTAAGTGAGGAACCACTGAATTCTACTCCTGAAACCAATATTGCACTGTATGTTAACTAACCAAAATTTAAATACAAATTTAAAAAAACAAAAAAGTTATCATAAAACTTTTTAGGGGCACCTGGCTGGCTCAGTCAGTAGAGCACACAACTCTTGATCTTGAAGTTGTAAGTCCAAGCCCCATACTGAGCACAGTCTACTTCTACAAACTAAAATAAATAACAAAAAGGGGTGTCACCTAGCTGGCGCAGTAGATGGAGCATGTGACTCTTGATCTCAAGGTTGTAAGTTTGAGCTCCAACTTGGCTGTAGAGATTACTTAAAAATAAAATCTAGGGGCAACAGGGGGGCTCAGTCAATTAGGCATCTTTTTTTTTTAACGTTTATGTATTTGGGGGGGGGGGTGCAGAGAGAGGGACAGAGGATCCAAAGTGGGCTCTGCACTGACAGCAGAGAGCCTGACATAGGGCTCGAATTCACAAACCATGAATTCATGACCTGAGCTGAAGTCGGATGCTTAACTGAGCAACTCAGGTGCCCCAGCCATCTGACTCTTGATTTCGGCACAGGTAAAGATCAGGCCTGCTGAGGATTCTCTATCTCCTTCTCTGACTCTCCCCTGCTCATGCTCTGTTTCTCTCTCAAAATAAATAACCAAACATGAAAAAAATAAAATCTAAAAAAAAAAACAACAGAAAAAAGCACCATACTATCAAAACATTAAACAATGTGATGCCAAGCATATGAATAGACAAACCAATGTAATAAGATATGGAAATATATCCTAATACCTATGGAAACTGAGTATATGATTAAGGGGAGCTATTTCAATCAGAGGGGGGCAAAGTTTTGAATGAGGTAGTATTATTTCATTGGTCTTAGAGTACGTTTAAAACAGACAATTTTGCCCATCTTTGAACTTCCTATATCTGAAATCATACAGCAGGCTCTTTGTTGCATTAACTCTCTTCACTCAACATTACTTCTGTATGAAACATCAATATTGTTGGTTAGACCAGTTAATTTGTCCCTTTTATTACTATGTAGTGTTCCATCATACCAAATACAGTTTGTTTACCTATTCTACTACTGATGGACAGTTGAGCTACTATGAATATTTGGGTATGATTATTTTGGTAGGGATACATGCACTCATTAGTGTTAGGTCTGTATACCTACAGTGACCAATCTTACTAAAATTAAGATGAGCAGACATATGCATTCTCACGTGATATGACAAGAACACTGGACCCAAATCTAACCAAGCCATTAGACAAGCATGAAATGAAACCTTAAGTATGCAGCCATCCATATTTAGAACTCAGTTTCTTTAACAGAGAATGGAGTTTAAAAAAAAGAGTGGAAACTGATGTAAATTAAAAGAAATTTAAGAGCAGCACCTGGGTGGGTCACTTGATTAAGTGTCTGACTCTTGATTTGGGCTCAGGTCATGATCTGCCCCTCATCAGGGGCATTATAAATAAATAAATATTTATTTAAAATAATAAATAATATAAATAAATAAATAAAATAATAAATTTAAAATAAAAAATAACTCCATTATAAATAAATAAATAAATAAATAAATAAATAAATAAAGGAGAGAGAGAGATAAATGAAATAAAAAGAAAACTTAAGAGACCTGTCAGATGCATTGTGGAGAGGATGCTTATTTGTGTACTCTTTAAAATCTCCATGATAAAAAGTTAAATAAAAACTTAGAATCTACATCATATACTGAGCTACCAGTTCTTTTGTTTTTATTTTTTTTTTAATGTTTTCCTTTTTGAGAGAGAGAGCGTAAGCGGGGAGGATCAGAGAGTGAGGGAGACACAGAACCTGTAACAGGTTCCAGGCTCTGAGCTATCAGCACAGAGCCTGACGCAGGGCTCGAAGCCCCGAGTGGTGAAGTCGACGCTTAACTGACTGAGCCACCCAGGCACCCCTGGAGCTACCAGTTTTTAAAGGAAGTATAAAGTTAGTACAGATAATTTTGTTTCAAAATTTTCCTATTTTATATTTACCCAAAATAAAAACTGAAGAGCAGAACTGCTCTATTTGTCAATAACTTCTTCAGTTTTGATAAAGGAAAATTTAAAAGGGGAAAGGCAGAAGAAAATCAACTGAGAAAATAGAAGTTACTTTTCCCTGAAGTGACCTTCAGATACGTTTTATCACAACAAAAGTATTAGTAGCCAAGAACTGAATATCTAATGGAAATTTGAGATAAACACATAAAAGACAGGACACATACAGTAACAATTATATATAATTAATTTTTCTGAAGTTTGAAGATATGAGGATAATGAGAACTTACTTTTTTTTTTTTTTACCATAATCTGAAATCTTGATCCTAAGAACTTTAAAACTTGGTGCACATATGACTGGGAACCTAATTTTATTCAAATAATTTGTTATTTTATTCAAATAATGCTGTATATTTATATATTTAATCAAACTGATTTTTAAAATCAAAACCTAGAAATAGAACACACCAATTCAGCCCATCTGTCAGTAAATGTAAAAGTCTAAATAAAGGGAGAAAGCAAGATAAATTTGTGAAACTATTGACGAAAGCAATGCCACAAGATTTCCAGCCAATTTATAAAAAGGAAAAATAAATCTAAAGATTTTAAGAGAGTCCAACCAGGAGCCTATATATAACTAAGATGGTGGAGTCTGAATGGGGCGCCTGGGTGGCGCAGTCGGTTAAGCGTCCGGCTTCAGCCAGGTCACGATCTCGCGGTCCGTGAGTTCGAGCCCCGCGTCGGGCTCTGGGCTGATGGCTCGGAGCCTGGAGCCTGTTTCCGATTCTGTGTCTCCCTCTCTCTCTGCCCCTCCCCCGTTCATGCTCTGTCTCTCTCTGTCCCAAAAATAAATAAACGTTGAAAAAAAATTTAAGAAAAAAAAAAAAAAGATGGTGGAGTCTGAAAAGGATCATAAAATAAAACAGCAATACTTAAGCAAGCTTATTTGTTAGTTTGAGACTATCTTTTTATCTCTGTCAAAGTCAGTATGTAAAAGCAAACTAAGGAAATACATCATTACATTCTATAGTCCAATCTAACTATTCTAATGAAGATTAAAATTTTAGGTCAAGCTAAAAACACAAAACAAATGGTCAATAGTAGATGAAAGACACATAATTAGGACACTAGTTAAGAGAATGTGTAACTGTTTTTACTTACTTGTAGACAAGATTCCAGCTTTATATCCATGTAAAGCATTAAGAGATTTTTGTTTAAGTTTATTTATTTATTTTTGAGAGAGAGAGAGAGAGAGAGAGAGCGCGCGCGCGCAAGGGCAGAGACAAAGAGGGGCAGAAGATCCGAAGGTGGCTCCGAACCTACAACAGAGCCCAAAGTGGGGCTCAAACTCACAAACTGTGAGATCATGACCTGAGCTGAAGGCAGACACTTAGGCAACTGAACTACCAGGCACCCTAAGAGACATTTAATGGTCCATACCACTGACTAGACAATGCTCAAGAAAGATTACTATTATACCATTTTCCTTAAACCAACTCAAAAGACTCTGTTGAAAATTAGCTACCAGAACAAGCTATGTATGAATGAAACACATTTAAAAATTTCATTTGCTGGGGGCACCTGGCTGGCTCAGTAGGTGGAGCCTGTGACTCTGGATCTCAGGGTTTTGAGTTTGAGCCCCTTGTTGGGTGTAGGGATTACTTAAAAATAAAATCTTAAAAAAAATTTTTTTTAAGAATAAGAATAAAAATTTAACTTGCTAACAGTAATTAGAATCTGAAGAATCAAACAGGGGCATCTGGGTGGCTCAGGTGATTGAGTGTCCAACTTTGGCTCAGGTCATGATCTCATGATTCGTGGGTTTAAGCCCCACATCGGGCTCACCGCTGACAGCTCGGAGCCTGGAGCCTGCTTCAGATTCTGGGTCTCCCTCTCTCTCTGCCCCTCCCCTGCACACGCTCTGTCTCTATCTCTCTCTCTCTCAAAAATAAACATTAAAAAAATTTTTTTTAATAAAGAGTGAAACAGAAGTTAATGTTTGAAGCCTGCTACCAAAAACTTATTTACAAGTTTAGATTTAGATTTAAAGTCAAGACAAAGAATACAAAATGGACACAGAATGAAAAGTAGTCTTGACGGGACAGCAAGTTTATAGGTGATTTTCTTTTTCATCTGTTACTATGCTATGGTTTTTAAAAGATTTTAAGTGCTAATGTCGTGTTTTAAATGCAGTTTTTTGGTTTCATTATACAAAAGACAACAATTCTATCAAATAGGCAAAGGAGGTGATCTGAATAAAGAACCCAAGATTATAGCCCGGAATAAGACAATTTTAACGTTTATTTATTTTTGAGACAGAGAGACACAGAGCATGAACGGGGGAGGGTCAGAGAGAGGGAGACACAGAATCGGAAACAGGCTCCAGGCTCCGAGCTGTCAGCACAGAGCCCGACGCGGGGCTCAAACTCACGGACCGCGAGATCATGACCTGAGCCGAAGTCGGCCGCTCAACCAACTGAGCCACCCAGGTGCCCCCGGGAATAAGACAATTTTAGGGCAATAACCAGTCTTAGAAAGGGCTTAGTTTCTCATCTAATACGGTTCAGGTAAAAGTCATGTGTCTGCCCACCCACTAGTCCACAGCACAATGAGACTGAAACAGGTGCCACTCTCGGTGCCATTGAACTTTCCTCTCGTGTTGCCCAACCTTCAATAATTTGCATACCACCACGAACATTTCCCCCAATGTGTTAAGTGCCTACATCGCTATTCAATATATTTCTCAAGTGACTTCTTTTTTTCTTTAGTTTTCTTTTTTATTAGGTAAGCTCGACACCCAATGCAGGGGCTTGAACTCTTGACCCTGAGAGCAAAAGTCACATGCTCTACCAACTGAGCCAGTTAGGCGCCCCCCAATTTGCTTCTTTAAAAATACACATACCTCTCATCCTATTTCCTCCCCTCTGCTTTTTTTTAATTTAGTAAAACATGCATAGAAAATGCAGCATTTTAACCATTTCTAGATTTACAATTCTGCAGCAGTAAGCACTGCAGTAAGCATACAACACAGTTGTATAAACATCACCGCTGTTCATTTCCACAACTTTTTCATTATCCCAAAGAGAAACTATGTACCCATTAAACAATAATTTCCCATTTCTTCTTTCCCCAGCTGCTAATAACCACCATTCTGTTACCTGTCTCTATGAATTTGCCTATTCTAGGCAATGCAATAACTGTCTCTTAGCATTTGGCTTATTTCACTTAGCACAATGGTTTTAAGGCTGCATGTTGCAGCATACATCAGAATCTCAAGCCACTTTTTTAAGAAGTATTTTATTCACCCGTAACTATAAAACCACCCATGTGATAGATCGGATTACACGTTTTCCTATTCAGCATTAAAATTTTTAACTACCATCATTTAAACATTCACCTCAAAACCACTTAAGAGCATCTCCTAAATCACCAGTAATACATCAGCACATTTTAGAAAACACTGCACTATAGGTATAGGACTAAAGACAAGCACAACGTGACTCAAGTGTAAAAACAAATGTATTACCTTTCATTCTTAAACCTTTGTAGACTACAGTCTTTAAACAGAAAAACATTGCTTCTGGGCATATTATTATTATTAGCCAAAGATTATTCATACACACACAAACACAAAATGGAACAATCATGTGTTCCTGTAGTCCTACAAGTTAAATACTCTGAAATTTGCATAAAGAGCATTACTGGGGAGAGAAATTTTACTTACAAGTTGTGATTTCTGAGTACAGTTTAAAAACAACCATAGTTTCATAGTTTTTAGTATGAAAAGAATTAGAACGTATTTCTCTAATTCCAAAGGTGCATATACATACATACACACACACACGTACACCTCTTCTAAAATGTTTTTGTGTTGCAAATCTCTCCTTAGATCCATTACTTTTATTACTGCTTGCTTTCAGTGTTCAATTTTATTGGCTAAATAATCACCTGATAGTATTTAAATGAAGACAGAAACTATTATACATCAGTTGGTTAACAGCAACAGGTAATATTTACTGAGAAGGGACCATATACAAGACTTTAAAGAGAAAGCCACAGCCACAATGGATATATAGTGAGATATTTCTATCAGCTTCGATCTATACATGAAGAAACGTTCTGTTTGGGGCTAGAAGAATAGGTACAATGAGACATGCCTCCCAATACAATTATTTTTATTCAATATTCAAAATCATATTTGTCATGGTTATAGGAAAGCTCCTTTGGAAAAATACTGCAACAATTATCTTGTTATTAAGTCTTCTATTCACCTATTACACCAGAAAGAGCAATTGGAATTGGAATTCTATGACCCTGGTTCCTGGGTGAGCTCTGCCACTAGCTAAGTCAGTGACCCTGGGCAAGTTACTTACCCTCTTCAGGCTTCTGTATTCTCATTAGTAATGTGATGCAACTGGACAGGATAATCCTAAGGACCTTTTCACCTCTAAATGTTTGTAATTATTTAGAAAAAATACTGGTTAAGACTTTAAATTACTAGCCGTATGGCGGTTCTGCTACAGTTTAGAGGCAAGAGAAAAGTGGTAAAGCTCTAGACAGAGATATAGGTTGCTATGATAAATCACTCACTTCTCCCTCTTTTTTGTTGTTAAGCTTCTGTTCTATGTTACATAACTGTAAAGCTGTCAGATCAAATTTTGTCAAGCACTTTATGCTCTGCCCATGAGATAAACCAAAAGGGCTAAATAGGTTCTACATGAATGAGAAAGCTTAGTGTTGCCTTAAGCAAACTAACTCATCAAAAAATTTACGCAGAATGGATAATGAAGTGTAAAAAGTGTCCAAATTAATTTATAAATTAAGCAAATGTTATGCTCATTAATCCTGGCTAACTTGTATAAAAACACAATACAAATACCTCTTACGTAAGAATTCTAAGATGCCCATCAGCTACTTCACATCCATCTTTTAATAATTCTACCCCTTTTCCCTAAATTATTACATAACTATTTAAAAGAATGAATGTTCTAAGGAAGAAAATATGAAAAAGAAAAAACAAATTGCTACAATTGTGATGGTTTTCCCTATTTAAGGTTAATCACCAGATGTCAAATATACACTTTAAAAGGGGGAATGTATTTTCTAAATTCAGTTCCTAAATTCCTTCAAAATTCTTATAATTATTTTTACTTGGGGGCTTTAGGGCGAAAGGAATATAAAAAAAATATGGACATTTTACAGGTGAAAGAGTTCTTAGAAAAAAAAATAATTATCGCAACCAATCCAAGTCATGATCCTGTTTCCCCAACATTGAAAATAGGTTAGGTATCCAAGCAACATAATCTGTAATGCTCTCAACGTTTTACACAAAAAGCCTGTTCCTGAGCCTTATTATGATTCTTCTCTTGATTCTTCCCTTTTTTCTAACATCCTTTTCTTCCCTAACTCACCTAGCCGCTGTACATTAGCTCAACAATCTCTTTTTATTCTTCTCTCCATCCTGCCCTACACAAGGCTCTAAATCCTACATTAATCCTTCTCCAGTGTTAGAGCTAAGGTTCTGAACATGACAAAAATGAAACCAGTGAGCAAAGTGCTCCAGCTATCAAATCTCAGATAGCCTCAACACTGTGCACAAATCCATTTCTGTCCTCTGAGAAAGGAAAAAGATTTGATTACCTATAGGTGAGGACTGTCCGCAAGTTTATGGTTAATGGGGCACAAAGTTAAAAAGCATTCATACCTGTTGCTTGTTTTTATTTTAAGTAGGAAGCAAAATCATCTTCTGAAATAATCGTCACTGAGCCAACAACGGACTGTGTGCCTATTCTATTCAAAACACTTCCCATGTATTCCCAGAAATAGTTATCACAAACCGATGAAGTGAGGAATTTAATCACCTTCACTTGCCAGATGAGGAAACTAAGCTGAGTAGCCTGTTCAAGGGCACACCCTAGTTAAGTGGCAGAACTAGTATTTTAATCCAGGCAGTCTAGCTCTGAGGCCTGTTCTTTTTATCACAACGCTGTGTCTAAAAGTAGAGCCTTTTAGGAGTCCTATTGTAGTTAAAGATTGATTGCATATATCAGGAGAAATATTACTAGTTTTCTTTCTAAGAATTAGTTCTCTCTTCATATCTAGGAAGACTGTCCTAGATCTAAGAAATCATTTAAACATGAAAATGTAATCTCTCTTGGGTGCATCTAAGTGACAAGATTTGGTGTACGTACCTGCATCCAAACTACAAGGGAGAGAGAACGTGACTGGAGTGGGGGGGGGGGGGTGTGCATATTCTATCCTGGGGAGGCAAAACAGGACTCTTGGGCTGAAATAAGATTCATAAGCAAAAATGAGTCAGAACACAAAATACTAAATTTTACCACGCCCAAGAATGGATACTCAATTCTTAACTATCAGTACATTTTGAGCAAGATATAGAGAGAGCTGGGGCACCTGGGTGTCTCAGTCGGTTTAGCATCCCACTCTTGGTTTTGGCTCAGGTCTGATCTCATGTTAGTAGTTCGAGCCCATCGGGCTCTGTGCTGACAGTGCAGAAGCCTGCTTGAGATTCTCTCTCTCTCTCTCTCTCTCCCTCTCTCTCTCTCTCTCTCTGCCCCTCCCCTGCTTGCTAGCTCCCTCTCTCTCTTAAGATAAATACTCAAAAAAAGTAAAACTACTTATACTGCTCAGATACATATGCAAAGAAATAGAAATCACCTGTAACTGAAGCTTCCACTTGAATGACTACATGTTTACTGCAAAAAGAATAGATTTGCCTCTAGAAGATGCCAGCAGCTACCCCAGTACCTCACCTGGATTCTGTTTCTATCTCACAGAAGCAATTTACAAAACTCTGGGAAGGGCGCCTGGGTGGCTCAGTCGGTTGAGCGTCCGACTTCAGCTCAGGTCATGATCTTACAGCTAGTGAGTTCGAGCCCCATGTCAGGCGCTGTGCTGACAGCTCAGAACCTGGAGCCTGCTTCAGATTCTGTGTCTCCCTCTCAAAAATAAATAAGTAAATATATAAATAAACAAGTAAAAAGCTCAGGGGGAAAAAGCACAATAAGAAGGATTTAAATAAATGCACCATAAAATTTTGCTTTCATTTCAACATGAGACAAACTAAAATCCTTTGACCTAGCTTCTTTACCACGTAACAGATCTAATTTTATAACGTCTCATTAAAGTTAGCAGGAGTCTGGCACAGTAAAACTCAAGGACACGAGCAATTGTTAAAGCAATTGTTAAAAACAGGAGTCTCAACAAAATGCACAATGTTGTAGGTATCTTTGACATAAAGTATCACAGAAGCTTATCTCATTTAAAACCATAAAGAAGACTGATGTTTTCACTTCAAAGAAAATACACCTAGCCCAAAGAAAAGGCAACAGCCAAACCAAACCTGGTGTTTAATACTGGCATACAATTTAGGAAATATGCTGCCAAGTCACAATCACCACCCCAGCCCCTAATACTTTCACTACACAACTAAGAAACGTAACCAACGGTTGCCACTATGGGCAGAGGAGCATACCAACTTGGAAAAACAGCGGATTCGGGACCACAGGCTACCCACGCCTCTTTCCCTCCAGGCCTCTCCAACTCTGCACTTCCATCCGTGGCTCCATGCACCTGTTCTCCCACGCCTCCTGCAACCTCAGGTGGGTTTGCTTACCCAGATGAAGTAAATTGTTTTCTTGCCTCTCGTGGGCAGCACACCCAGGAGAAAAAGAGGTAAGTGATAGTAGGAGCCTTCCTGTGTAACTTCGATCCATGTTTACTAAATAAATGAATAAATGAACGACTGAACAAAAGTTTGTGTAAACAAATCACACAGCAGTACCAGGAGGAAGCAACGCTACGGCTGAGACATGTACGGCTCTGAGGCGAGATGAAAAGCTATCCATGGACCTTCAACAGATAGAGGGGAAAACCCTCTAAAAAGACGGAGCATACTACATGGAAGCCAGAAAGCATGTTGAAAATGGCGCGTTGGATTTACCAAGAGAATTGAGGTATATTAGAAGTAGTGGTAGAAACACAAGGAAAATAAACCCCGTACAGAACATAAAAGGCTAAGAACACCAGACTAAAGAGTCTGAACTTTATTTGGGATGCAGGAGGCAATTTAAGGATCTTGAGCAGGAAAAAGACATTTAAGTCAGACAGTTGCTCCCACAGCTTTAGGCTATGAGATAGGTAGGATAGATTAATAAAAAGAACTAAAGGAGACAAGTAGAGAAACTCCGACAAGTACCTCACGCATACTTCTTTTAGTATACTTACCACAGGTTAATGTGATTTTTCTTCATCTGGACTACCAACCTCAGAACCCCAGGGAAGCAAAATCCACCTTTCGACACATGAAAAGTGGGATGGGTAAAATTATCTACTGCCTCTTCTGACCAATAACTTGTGTCTATACCTGATTACTTGGAGAAAAAAGACAGGAAAAAATGTCTTAATTTACAAAAGGGTAGTATCATCAAAAATTCATTTATAATTATTTTTTAAAAGTGAAATGTGCGGGGCGCCTGGGTGGCTCAGTCGGTTAAGCGTCCGACTTCGGCTCAGGTCATGATCTCACAGTCTGTGAGTTCGAGCCCCGCGTCGGGCTCTGTGCTGACCGCTCAGAGCCTGGAGCCTGCTTCGGATTCTGTGTCTTCCTCTCTCTCTGGCCCTCCCCTGCTCATGCTCTGTCTCTCTCTGTCTCAAAAATAAATAAACGTTTAAAATAAATAAATAAATAAAAATTAAAAAAATTTAAAAATTAAAAAAAAAAGTGAAATGTGCTTCCTGATGATGACAGAACTACCATTTATTGTTTGTTTGCCTTTCACCAGGCGTGAGCTTAACACTCTACACATCTTCTCTCACTCATTCCTCCAAAAGACCCTCTAAGGCAGATATTCTTAAGTCTCTCAATTAGGAGCCTCAGGTGTGGGGAAGTTAAGTAAGTTGCCCAAAATCATACAGCTATTAAGTGGCAGTCAGACTCTAAACCTACGCAATCGGTCTCCAAGGGATTTAACCTGGGGGCCAGGTTCCCAGGTCGAGACAGAAGGCCAGTATGACCCAGGATGTATCTGATCGCACAAATATCACAGAGTACATCAAACATATTGTTTAGTCCCTCTGTAGGAGGAAGATTTTTTAAATCTTGCAATATTCTCTCTTCAGATGTTAGATGCACTGTCTCCAGCATTTTTATTTTTTTTTTAATTTTTTTTTCAACGTTTATTTATTTTTGGGACAGAGAGAGACAGAGCATGAACGGGGGAGGGGCAGAGAGAGAGGGAGACACAGAATCGGAAACAGGCTCCAGGCTCTGAGCGATCAGCCCAGAGCCCGACGCGGGGCTCGAACTCACGGACCGCGAGATCGTGACCTGGCTGAAGTCGGACGCTTAACCGACTGCGCCACCCAGGCGCCCCTGTCTCCAGCATTTTTAAATGGTTACTACACAATACGAAGCCAACCTTTTTTTGTTTTGTTTTGTTTAATAAACACATATAAAGAGAGTCTCTGCTTTATTCATAATCAGAAAAACGCAAATTGGGATCACAATTAAATACCATTTTGTACCATTTTAGATTCTCTGTCTCCCTTTCTCTCTGCCCCTTCCCTGCTCATGCTCTCTCTCTCTCTTTGAAAAATAAACACTAAAAAAGTGGTACCATTTTGCACCCACTAAATGAGCAAAAATTAAGAAATCTATTCGTATTTTTTTAAGATATCTATTCATATTAAGTGTTGGCATAGGTAGTGAATCAACAGGACCACTTAAGATACACTGGTAAGAGTGTAAACGGGTTCAAATACTTGAGAAATAATATGGTATCATGTGTTATGTTGCACAAGTATACAACCAGCCTAGAGACAGCAAAGTGTTCCAGGAAGCATGCATGAAAATGTTCTGAGCAACTCTCTTTGCAATAGTAAAAGAGAATAATCTGAGAAAAATCTTGAGAATAATCTGTTAGGATAGTGGATAAGTCATGTAGTCAGTGCAGCCACATCTCACAATGGGCACAGAAAGTTAATGGTGAGTGAAAAAAAATTCAGGCCTCAGAGAACATAAATCCTATGAAATATCTTTTAGAAATTCAAAAATAAGAAAGCCAACTGTTTGACAAGTTAAAAACTAAATGGGAAACACAAAAACTGACAAAGTAAAATGCCTACTAAATATTTATTTAATTACTATACAATAGAGCTAAAGAAAAAATGAAATTCACTAAGTGGCATTATAGTTCTTAAGTTATTCGTTGCTGATGGCCAGAGACAAGTAAGACCTTGAAATTTAGATGACAGTAGACTCAAAGTGAACCACGAGCAAGTTTTTCTTAAGTTAAAGCCAAAAAACCTTAGAATGGTGCTTCTTTATTAAGGTTATGACTATCCAGATCCACAGACGGAAAAGTATCCCTGCACTTTTCATGGGTCAGACAGCATCCACTGTTTTTGATTCCACTCGGATGATCACATTTTAAGAAAAATCACACTGAAAAACTGGAATGCCTGCAATGGAAAGCCACCAGGATGGCAAAGGATCCAGACACCATGGTACAATGGATGAGGAACAGGAATGAGGAGAAATTAGTGAAGGGAAGTGTTGGGGAAGGGAGGCCAAGAATGCTGCCCTTCAAATATCTGAAGAGTCAATACCCAGATGAAAAGGTAAGAGTTATTTGCCTGTATCTAAAGGGTAAAAAGAATGGGCCATGCTAACAATAAACGCTAGCCACAAGTGAATTATACCATATGAAAACACAGCCAACTAGCTCATCAAAGACTACTGTTAGTTATGGCTGGCACGTTCCAACACAGGACAAGGGAAACTTTTCTCGGCCCTTCTGCAGCTACAGGTACAAGAACATCCCTGTCTCCATCCAAGCCAGTGTCAAAGTTCTGGAAAGGAGGGCCAAGAGCCCACAGACTTCAGCTGAGTGGTCATTTGTACATGAAACTGTAAAACCATATAAATCATTTTATAAAACTATGCTTTTTTTTGGCCATTCTAAGATACTCAGATATAAAAAGTTTGTATTCTCCAAACAAAACTTATTCAGAATCACATCAATTTCTTTTTTATGGTTTACAAAATATTATCGATAAATCTCAGTCTTAAAATTAATTTCAAGTACTTTTATTTTTTTTAATTTTTTTTAGAGTTTACTTTTCAAAGAGAGAGAGAGAGCATGA